GCGTCTCGGGAGGACACGTCTGGGCTGAGCGGGCATTGTGCAGCAAAAGGCGCCTTTCCCGCCGGCTCGCTCGCTCTCCGCCTTGAACTCAGCGCCAGGCTGCTGCTGCTGCTGCTGCTGCTCCTACCGCCGCCACAACCGCGCGCGGCTAGAGCGAGCCACACACCGCGCAGAATGGGGCTGGAAGGAGTTCCCCAGTACCAGCCAGCCAGACCCACGGCCAGCGGCTCCAGAAGCGCCTGCGCACTGCAGGGGCGCCAGATTTGGCGGGAGGGGGAGTGTCCAAAAAGCCCTTTGTTTGATGGCATCTGTTTACAGAGTTTACTCTTTCATCTCAACCTGTTTCCTCCTCCCCTCTCCTGCTCCTGAGAACTTTACGGCGGAGGAGCTCTTTTTAAGAGGCAAGAAACGCCAAGCACTTCTTCCAGCCGCATAAAGCCCTCTCCTCCCCCACCCCCCCTCCCCCTTTTCGCCTTTTCCCCAGTGACTAATGCAAGGATGGCGAGGAGACCTAGGCACAGGTAAACAGCAAAAGCCAAAAAGCAAACGTCTTTCCAGCTCGATGCATTTATGTCTCTCTCTCGTTCTTTTTCTAGATATATTTGTCTGTGCGGCGCGCGCGTCTTGTTTCATAGCGGCAGGATTCTTTGGGGAGGGGAGATGCGCAGTTTGTGTATTTTGAAGGAGTTGCAGATACAGTGCAAACTTTAAGGGAGAGAGCTGGGCTCCCTTTGCACACCTGTCAGCGCGTGCATTAAAACGGTTGCATTTGAATAAAATGCAGGATCTCATGAGTAGATGTGTAGCAGCTTACGTTCTCCTCTGGTAGCCACATCTCTGCTCTCCCCCCCCCCACGTCCTCCTTCTCACGACCTTCCAGAGTCTGAAAGAGTGGGCGAAGTTCGGTTCTTTGCAACGTGCAGTTCGAGTGGTGCGGGCTCGGGAATGGGGAGATTTTTTTGTCCCCGTCTACTTGTTGGACGCGGGCCTAAATAATTACATAAAAGCGTAAAGGCCTATTCCCCACTTGCAAAGAAAAACCCGTTGCCTTCGGCGAGCGCGACGAGCGCGAACGGCACACGACACGTTCAGAAAAGGGGCAAAATGTCGGAGTTGCTCGGGAGACCTGCAGGTACTAGATCCGCGTTTTCATTCATTCGTCCACTCATTCGTACGCTATGCATGACTGTCAGGTGGATGACAGGCGACGTGGAAGGCGAGCCAAGTCTTTTAATTTTCGCAATTGGGAGCGGGTGTGTGTTTGTGTTATTTAGGGACTCCAGATTCTCCCCAGTTCGTATCTTGCTTTAAAAAACGGTTGAGGAAGATCCAAAAGAGAAATCGGCTGTGCAACCGGGGTCGTGTTCCTAACGCACCCGCCGTTCTCCACATGCAGAAGCCCGAGCCTTCTTTGCAGCGCCGCGTTGGGACTGCCTTGACCGGCGATGTAGCGCAAGGGGAGAGAGAGGAAGGGGGGGCCCTTGTCAAGAACTGTCACTCGTCGGGCGAACGGTGCCCTTGAGCTTGCACGATCATCGCCCGTTTCTTAAGGGACAACTTTGCAAAAAGAAAATCTTGCAAGGCGCGCGTGTGTGACTGGCGGAATTGGTGGTGGTGGTGGGGGAGGCTAAGACGGCGTCCCGGGCTTAGTTAGGCTGCTGGTTGTGCGGAGGTGGCGCAGGGCTGCCCGTGGCTGCTCCCTCTCAACAACTCCCTTGCCACTCCGCTAGCGTGGCGCGCAGCAGACTGGCCACGAGAAGCAGCGCCTCGTGGTTTGAGGGACTGTTCTGCACACAGTAGTGCGGGATTGTTTTTCTGCCTATCCCGGGACAGCCGCTCGTCCACGTGGAGCCACACTTGCATTTTCTCTTTCGCCGTGCAGCGCTCGCGGGGACGCTCGCCCTCCCATGTCCCAGCCCTTCCCCAGCCCGTCTTTCCGTGGCACCGAAAGCCCAGTCTCTGAACCTCGAGCCCCCATCCCAAAAGTTCCCCCCCCCCGCGATCTCTGGGAAAAGAAAGGTTAATAGGCGAAGAGGGGGGAGGGAGCGGAAATGCCTCGGTGTGTGGGGAGTGTGCGTGGCTGAGGTGAAGCCGAAGGGAGCGCAGCAGCAGCAGCAGCAACCTCACGCACGCAGACGTGGGGTGCCCCTTCCGTGGGGAAGGACACAGACGCCGGCTGATGGGCCCTCACGGGCTAGCTTCCTTCCTGCAGGTCGGCGGGGAAGCGGCGGGCCACTTCAGCCTTGCATTTGCAAAGGGCAGGGCATTCGGGAAGGGCGGCGGAGGGGGAGAGAGAGCGAAGGAGTTGGACGGTGCCAGAGGCGCGGCCTTTCAAACGCGGCGCGGGTATACTTCGGAAAGGGGACGGTCACTTCCTCGGTTGTGCGCCTAGGAAGAGGTGGCTTTACGACCAGCCCCCCCCCCGGGGGGGAGTAGGAATGGAGATTTTTTGGAGGGGAGGGTAGAAGTCAGTTCTACGAGGGGAGGGGCCGTGTCACAGCCAGGCACTCCCCCCTCCCCCGGTGGTGGCGGCTGGCGAGGCGGGAGAAAGAAGGGGAAACCCTCCGGCTTGCTTCTTTCCAGCACCTGCCTCGCCTCGGAGGGCTCGGCGAGGTGAGAGCGCGTCAGAGCAACGACAGCCTCTGCCCTTTGCCTCACTGGCGGTGGCGCGGCTGCCTTCAATCACAGTGCTACTGATACTTCCTCTCCGGCCCCTCCCTCACTCCCGTCCGTCCGTGTCCCCCCCCCTCCCCACGTTTCAATGAGTTGCACAATCCGGTTTCCTTGGCAAGCGCGTAGCCTTCGTGAGCGCGGCGCGTTTAAAGCCAGGCTGAGCAGGTGGGGTGCTCGTAACCCCATTCGGGGCTTTTCAGACGGGGTTTGTCCCGAGCACTTCGATATGGCACCGTCCGTTAGAGCCAGCGATTTAAAAAAAAAGGAAAGGGGGAATTAAAACGGCGGACCTGCTCCTGGATCCACTTGGTGCTGCTGGCACCTGCCTCGTGGTGCCACCGATTGAAAAAATTGCTGTACTTTGCTCAGTCCCAGGCAGCGGGGCCTTGAAGCCCTGGCATGCTTCATTCTTAAGTCCCCCTGGCCCGGTAAGACTTAAAGGAAGTTGCCATCCTGAGCAACTGGAGAGTAAGTGTATAGAAATCAGTAAGATTTCCAAGTAGGTTCCGTGAGTGTCACTGAAAATGAAAGTTCTTAAGTAACTCAGATCTGGGCAAAATTCTGTTCAACACAGTGGCTGAAATCCTATTGCTTAGCACAGGAAATTGCAGCTAGAGTAGGCCTGTTGAGTCAGTTGGGATTTGGTGAGTCAAGTCCTTAAATTCCGTTGAATTCAGCGGGCCTGTTTTAGTTGCAACTTACTCCATTAAGCAGCAGGATTTCAGCTAGTGATTATTTATTTATTGTAGTTGTATTTTGCTTCAGTCAAGATTGTCTTACAAAGTGGTTTAATATTATACGTCGCCGTTTAGTTGTTTAGTAATATACAGTAATCCATAATAAAGTGCCATAAAGTGGAAGGTGTTTTCCAAGGAGTAGGATTATACAGTAATTTCAAAGAGCCTTCCATCTAGTTTGGTGATGCTAACTGGGGATTCTAGAAAGTGCAACCTAAAAAATGTAACTTTTTGAAGCTGTTATGGGAAGTGACTAGTCTTTTCTGGCTTTTGGTGACATAGTCCCTGGTACATATAGTGTGGAGTGCTTTGTATACAGTTGGATTGTGTTATTAAATATTATGTAGTGCTTAAACTCGTGACTAGTCTTTTCTGGCTTTTGGTGACACAGTCCCTGGCGTGGAGTGCTTTGTATACGGTTGGATTGTGTTACTAAATATTATTCATGTAGTGCTTAAACTTTGCAAGCAGTTTTACAGTCCTCGAGGCACTGTCGAGTGAATCACTCAATACTATTAGGAAAACTGAGGCCAAAAGCTAGCTTCTTAACCAGAGATATCCAGGAACAACCAAGGTACATGACCAGCAACCTCAAACATGATGTATCTGCTACTGAAATGTTTAGTCACTTTAGACTGATGATGGGGTAGTATCACCCACATAACATTCTCTCTACCTACAAGATGCCTTGCCAGGGAGGTCTAACATGGCAGAGATATTTTAAGCACGAAAAACCAATTAAAATAGCATGTGGTGGACAGTAGGACATGCAATCTAAAATGGTACAGCCTAACAGCTTATAAACCATGGGAGTCTACTGATGGTATGTTTTGTCTCAAGGGCTTTGTTGGAGCTTGGATTCAAATTTCAAGTGACCCAAACTGAATCCTTACACATGTCTAGCTAGTTTCCTAAGCCAGAGTCTTAGCAGCAGGTTTACCTGTTGAATGGCATGACAGTTTAGTGGCTGGTTATTAAAAGGTGAATGCAGTCAGTGGCTTTAATTAGTGTATACCTAGGCCTTTAGGAAACTTAAAAACCAGTTACTGTTTTTGTAAAAACCATTAATGTACACTAAATCCCGGACGTTTTATATCTTTAACAGTGGCGGTGTTCTCACTGTTGTTTAAACCGTACTGCATTTATTTGGAAGCTGCTGAGCTTTTGGAAAAGTAATCTGCCCTCTGATATTAGTGCAATTAAACTACAACTTCTCTATTAGTACTTATGGGTAATCCCATTGAGCTAACTGAGACTTCTTCTTTGTAGCTTCTTTAAAGGACTTGGTCTTAAATATCAGATTTTTCCTATATTAGACAGGGTTGCTGTAAAAAGTTTGCTGAAGACACTGTTAAAAATGTATTTGAAGTTCTCTCTCTCTCTCTCTCTCTCTCTCTCTCTCTCTCACACACACACACACACACACACACACACACACACACAGACAATTAGTCTCAAACCATCCATATGTCTTCTCTTGCAGATACAGTCTGTAAACAGAGGTTTCAAAAGTTATGTTTATGTTTTAAAGTTGGAAATAAAAGGTTGCTCAATAGAACTGGCAACTTCTGTTGCAAAACATGATTTTAAATTTACTAAATTTGATGGGTTCAGTGGATGTTTGTGTTTTGTTTTAGTTTTTCCTGCTCATGTTCTACCTTGGGAGACATCCCGGGGCAGTCAGTTGCCAGTGGAAAATATGTCAATTGGAGTAGAAATAAGAAACTGTTTATAATGACAAAATATGATTGTTCATTTCAGTGCTGTGAGCGCTTCAGATTGTACATTTCTCCTCCATTGTAACTGCAGTTGGTCAGAGCTTTGTTGATATTACTCTTTATTTACAAAACAAACCGATCACTTGATGTTGTTAAGGGTTTGATTTGTTGTGAGAGGCCTCTGCCCTCAGATATTTTGTAGGCTGTAGATCTGCGTTTATGTGCAGCTTGCCCCCTGTGTGTGTGTATTTAGGAAAGTCCCTGTGGATTAAATGAGAGACATACTTCCATGATTTTCAGTCTTACTTCCAAGTAAGTGCATAGAAATTTTACTTGGCCCAAGTCCAGTTGAACTTGGTAGGACTTGTGGTTAAATACGCATAGAATCAAACTATTAGTCTTCCAGTAATCTGATAGTAGTTTATTAAATATTTTCTCCCTTTTATTGTAGATGCTTATCCCTGTAGTATTAAAAGGTCATTTTAAATTTGAGATTGATTATGCATGGTCCTTTATGAGTAAAAAAAAAAGCATGGCATGTTTTTTAAATGATTGGGCTTAAGTTAAGGATTCTGAGTATGTACTTGGGCAGAGGACACAGCCTCTGCTCTTTTTATTGTCCTCAACATTGTATTTTAATTTGAAACCATCATTGGTTGAATGGCTGCCAAATGTCTAATTTGCCACTGATCTAACAGTATGAGCAGGTCTAAACATGCACAGTAATGAGAAGGTTGCCAACCTTTTGCTTGTATCTGTGGATACCAAAAACAGCAGAACCAGTTCCGAATACTAGAACAGAATGTAGAACAAAATCTTGCAGTGCAAGTTTCTGAACAATTACCCTTGTAACCTTTTCAAAGGCTCTCATGTTTTCCTAGATTTTTTTAAAAAAAATTGTTAAGTCTTGTTCTTCTAAAAAGCCTTGGCATTCTATCCTGTTTTGCCTTTGTCCCCTGTTTCTCCAGCATTTACAGCAGTGATGATGAGGACGAAGATGTCGAGGTTTATGATCACGATTACGACGGTCTGCTGCCCAAAGGTGGAAAACGACATTTAGGCAAAACCCGGTGGACTCGGGAAGAGGTAAAAAGCAGCTCATGTCTCATAAAGAGAAAAGTATGACAAACACCCAAACATCAGTTGTCACAGGGTTTCCAAGGGGAAGTTGCTCTCGTGCTAGCAAATGCAAGGCTAAGCATGACTTGAAAGCTACTTTGGATGGGCTGCATCCAGAAAGGTCAACATTATTGTTCTTATGAATAAATAGTTTAAAAACAAGCACCACATCTTGAAGAAAAATCTCTTTTTAAGGTATGGTCCTGTGGCCCACTGAAGGAGTGTCCATTCACATATGGCCATCACATATGACCATTAAGTGTAGCCATTATGGCAGGAAAGTGGAAGTGAAGGCAGAGGAGGAGACGCAGGTACAATAGGATTCAGAGAAAGATGCAAGAGAAACATTGATGGGTTCATATGTCCCTTCACTTAAGAGCCCAAGGCCCAGAATTCCTGGAACAGACAGTCTGTGCCTCCCATTTGTTTCCATTATTGCAAATCTTTCCTTATTCATGAAATCACTGTACAGTGGTGCCTCGCTTAACAACATTAATTCGTTCCAGCGAAATTGCTGTAGAGCGAAAACGTCATAAAGCGAAATCACGATTACGACGGTCTGCTGCCCAAAGGTGGAAAACGACATTTAGGCAAAACCCGGTGGACTCGGGAAGAGGTAAAAAGCAGCTCATGTCTCATAAAGAGAAAAGTATGACAAACACCCAAACATCAGTTGTCACAGGGTTTCCAAGGGGAAGTTGCTCTCGTGCTAGCAAATGCAAGGCTAAGCATGACTTGAAAGCTACTTTGGGTGGGCTGCATCTAGAAAGGTCAACATTATTGTTCTTATGAATAAATAGTTTAAAAACAAGCACCACATCTTGAAGAAAAATCTCTTTTTAAGGTATGGTCCTGTGGCCCACTGAAGGAGTGTCCATTCACATATGGCCATCACATATGACCATTAAGTGTAGCCATTATGGCAGGAAAGTGGAAGTGAAGGCAGAGGAGGAGACGCAGGTACAATAGGATTCAGAGAAAGATGCAAGAGAAGCATTGATGGGTTCATATGTCCCTTCACTTAAGAGCCCAAGGCCCAGAGTTCCTGGAGCAGATTTGTCGTTAAACAGGGTAAACATAAAGCGGGGCACGACTGTACTAACTGATACAAAGAAAGGGGAGGGTTCTGGATGTGACGCACCTGTAGCCTCTTTTATTTTAGTCAGAAGACTTGGAAAACAGTGGGAAAACATTAGCCCCTCATCTGGACTTTACTGAAATGACTGGAAACATTGCTGGACATCATTTGTTGTTTAGATTTATATGCCATGTTTTGAGTAAGTTGCGCTTAAAGCGGGGCACGACTGTACTAACTGATATAAAGAAAGGGGAGGGTTCTGGATGTGACGCACCTGTAGCCTCTTTTATTTTAGTCAGAAGACTGTTGGAAAACAGTGGGTCCACTCTGGTACAGATGTTCAAAATGGCATTAGCCCCTCATCTGGACTTTACTGAAATGACTGGAAACATTGCTGGACATCATTTGTTGTTTAGATTTATATGCCATGTTTTGAGTAAGTTGCACTATTTCATACAGTCAGGCCATGAAGCAAAGAAGCATGGTGCTTGGAGTCCGTCACCCTTTAACTTCTGTTTGACTCGTATTAATGCCACTTCTCATGTGTAATGGTTGCTGTTTCTGAAACAAAGACAGCAGCATCTGAGAGCTACAGATAATAGAGCATAAATGCTTGATCTTTTCTGGATGAGTCACTAATCTCTAGGTATTGCAGTAGCAATGATGAAGGGTCAGTTTTCTGTTTCTGTGCAGACCAGTTTACACAATATTCTTTCATCTCATCTTATTTGAGTGTTAGATTATGATTTCCCAGATACATCTATGAAAGTTTAGACTGAATTTTTCTATAATTCTCTTTACTCTTCTTTTGAGCTTACTGTTTTGCTTCCTAAACTCTTTGTTAAGGTATTGCTTAATTTATCAGAAGCAGTCCTCAGCCAGTTACATTTAATTGCTGTATTTTATCAAAAGTAGTTGGAGTTTGCAATCTGTCGCTCAGATCAATAAAACTAAGCCTGTAATTACATATACTGTAATGGTGAGGATGTCAGTTGCAGCATGGCATCTAAACGGGAGGTCAGAGACTGCTTATCAGAAGCAGTCCTCAGCCAGTTACATTCAGTTGCCGTATTTTGTCAAATATAGTTGGAGTTTGCAATCTGTTGCTCAGATCAATAAAACTAAGCCTGTAGTTACATATAATGGTGAGGATTTCAGTTGCAGCATGGCATCTAAACTGGAGGTCAGAGACCGCTAGAGCTGTTGGAGAACTCAGTGGTTTAGTTCTCTGGCTGCAGAGGCAGAGGTTTGGTGTTTGATTCCCTACTGCACCTCTTTGGCTGGACTTGACAATCCATAGGGTCCCTTCCAGCCCTCCACTTCCAAGGTTATCTTCTTCATCAAAAAAGTTTGTGCTTGGTGATCCTCCATATCATTCCAAGTAGTGACCAAGGAAGAGGGCTTGAGCTTATAGTGAACAACATAATGAAGTTGTGGGCCTAGGTTGTGGCAGCTGTGAAAAAAGCAAATGCCATATTGGAGGAGATCAATGGGAAGAGAATTGAAAATAACCCTGGCTGAATAGTAATGCCCAATTAGTACACTGCATCCTTATTTGAAATATGGTGTATAGTTTAGATCACTGCACCTTGAAGATATTTTTGAAAACTGGAAAAGATAAAGAAAAGGTCAAATGTGAGTGATCAAGAAGTTGTGTCAACACCCCTGTGAGCAAAGGTTACACCCCTTAGAGTTGGGGGGGGAGAGAATAGTAGGGGTTGTAAAATTATGATTGTAGTAGAGAAATTAGATGAAAGCCAAAGAGAGATTCAGGGTGGATTAAAAGAATCACTTTTTCAGACACTGCAGAATTAAATTGCACAATGTTCTGCCACAAGGTAGAGTAATGTGGAGATCTTTTAAAGATTAAATGCATACATTGCCTTCCGTGTCAGAGGTATTATACCTCTTACTACCAATTGCTGGGGGACATGAATGGAACAGACAGCTGGAAAATAGGGAGAAGGACATGAATGGAACAGACAGCTGGAAAATCCTGAGGGATATGGTTTGCCATTACTGTATAGGGAGAATGTTGGACTGTATGGTCATTGGGGCTAATCTGTATGGTTCTTCTGTTTAATGTTTTTGTGCTCCCTTACTGTGCGCATTTGTCCAGTTGAATGTACCATGACTGGCAAGCTAGGTAGTTCATGGTTAAGGTATCTGGCTGCAGAGTCAAAAGTTGGCAGTTTGATTCCCCACTATGAATCTCTACAAAAGTTGGCAGTTTGATTCCCCACTGTGAATCTCAAGAGAAGAGTCAGCCTGTATGGCCTTGGACACACTGCAGACTCCCAGAGCTCCCCCAGAAAAAGGGAATGGTAAACTACTTTGAGAACTGCGTATGTAGAAAACCCTGAAAAGGGTTGCCATAAATCAGAATTGACTTGAAGGCACATAATTATTATGTACCATACGCACACTTTAGCTGGCATGCATGGGAATCTGTTGAATGTGGGGTACTTCCCATGTATAGCAGCAGTATGCGTGGAACTTTTTCAGTAGTATCTGCCGGAGGACAAGTTCTTTAAATTTGGCTTCAGTCACATTGAGTTGATGAGTGTGAAGTGTTTTGGCTGTGAAAGGATGACAAACACTGGCATCATGACAGAGAAGATTGATCCTTCTCTATGGTTACTACCACTGACAAAGTGTTTGCCAGTCACATATCTGCTGTAAACAAGAGGGTGCATTAGTGAACTGCCCCATTATGGTTTTTAAGCTTTGTAAACATACTGTTTGTGACAGGATAGAACAGGGATGAGGTGTGGAACTTGGAATGGAAACAATTGTCTTTGAGTCCCTGCTCATACAAAGTTCTTTGTGTGGGTCTTAAAATTACTGTCCGCCTTGAAATAAATTGGTGATGTACCTCCAGAACTCCAGTTGTTGATTTCATCCCTGTACACAGTTTCAGGGCTCAGATTTCTGAAATGTGCGCCTCTGATCTGAGTCAAAGTTCCTATTTTGAAACTTGTTTTGAACAGGCCCACACTTCTGAACATGAATTTTTGGAATATTGCGTTTCTTTTGCACCACCCACAGTTCTGAATGAAGATCCCATATAGTGTTGACAGTTTTTTGGTGATCACTCATCCCTGCCTTTGGATTGTAAGCAAATAGTTTTGATTGAGTCCCTTGCTCGGCATATGACCCAACCAGGCTGTTTTTGTAATGTCCTCAGTCCCATCAGATCTCCCTACTTCTCAAAAATGGGTTTTCCCAAGAAAGAAAGGTGATTTTTCTGTCTTATTTTTAATAAGTCACAAAAGACTCCTTCAGTATTTAACACCATGCAATCAAACTGCAGGTTTCCTTTTTCATATTTGTCAAAGCAAATCTGCATCAACATTCAGTAGCGCATAGTATTTGGCTTAATTTTTATCTTCAGAATGAAATAAGCTCACTTAAGCTTATATTATTGTTCCTTAAAACATCTTAGGATGAGAAGCTAAAGAAACTTGTGGAGCAGAATGGCACAGAAGATTGGAAAGTTATTGCCAATTTCCTTCCTGTAAGTAAGCCTCATTTTCTGTTTATAACCACACATTTATCAGTGGGTGAGAGAGGGAGAGGTTGTTTCATAATTACAGACGGAGACTTAATACGGTAATAGCAATTTGGAAGGTTTGCAGAACTCTCTGCTATGTACACTCACATTTAAATTTATTTCTTTCACTTCTCATATGAAATGAAGAAAGGAAAATGTTAAAAGCCGTTTGGGGAGAATTTCATGTACAGCAGATGGTTAGTACATCATATGTATGAATTGAACAAAAAAATTACTCCGCTCAGAGTAGAAACTGGCTTTGATCTGTAGTTGCTGCCACTTATTAAATATACTGTTTTGTTAGTAATTTTATTTGATTTAGTAGTCGAAATGTTGCAGTTGAAGCTTATGATTTATTTAATTGTAAATAATAACAGGTATGTTAAGATGCAAGGATAGTGGTGTCAGTGTGATCAGGTGTGATCAAGAATTAGCAGCCAAAGTGTCCATTACTTCCCATTGAGGACTAGGTTTTACCTCTTTTTGTAGCCCCAGACTTAGGCTTTGTGTCTGGTGGTGATGTGGACAATAAAACAGTGCTCTACAAGAGCACGTTGTGTTCCTGGGTCCAGCCACTCCTGTTGCTTTCCTCTGTTCTGCTTTTGTTTTCTGTTCACAACCATTTCATGTTATAAACCATTTTATGTTAGATAAAATTTATGCCTAATCCCAACCACCTTAAAATATTTTATTTCTCCACTGATGTCTATGAGTAGCTAGTGCTTCCATATCTGTGGACATTTTAAGAAATGACCCATCTGGATAATGTGGTGAAGCAGTTTCCCTCCCCCCCCTCACAACTCCATTTGATTATGTACCCCCCACACACAGAACTACCTTTGTCACCCTGCCGCCCCTCCACATCTGTCAGCATTCTGTACAGTTGAATTATTTCAGTGTTTTGGGTGAAGGGTGGGTTCCTCCTTTTTTCTGGTTGTTTGGTGTCCAACATTTTTCTGCAGTAGGATTAAGGGAGGTGTGCTGAAATTGCTCAGGTAAGGATGAAAATGCTTAACCTCTTGAGGGAAAAGCAAAATAAATTTAGAACTGCCAACATAATTCCAGAACTGACAGGGACTTGAACTATGCCTGGCCTCCCTGCACCTGTGTTTCCACATAACTCCAGTTTATAAGTGTCACCTAAACTGTCGTTGAGAGAGCTGACATAGTCCTTGATTTTAGCTGGGATGTGTTTTGTGTATAAAATGAATATTTAAATGCCATGACTCATTGCCATTAGATTGCATGCAAGTAATTGCAGCATGGGACTTCTGCATACAGCTGAGTGGTTTGACTTAGCATAGTCAACTTAAGTTTCCCTGCCTTAGGTCCAAAGTGTAATGGTATACTACCTTGCAGGGCTGCTGTATGCCCCTTCTCAGCACAGATTTCTAGTCTGCAGTGGAGGTGTAGAAATGAGCTGTGCTGGCATGTTCTTTCAGCCTGATCGCCTGGAAAAGTAACATTGATGGATAAAAATGCAGGTTGTTATAAACTACAGTACTTTCCGTATATGCCATATCTCTAAGTATGACTGTGTAGTTGTTACTCTACTCAGAACCTGACCTGAAGTAATCAGTGTGCACTGTACTCCAGCGCTGTCATGAGGACTTCTCTGCCTCAGAAGCAGTTATGGAGGACATTTAACAAAGGTGTATTGTCTTCTTCATACAACTTTATCATTTATGTAATCCGGTTATTTCCCCCTCCCCCCCATACTGTTAGAATCGTACAGATGTACAGTGCCAGCATCGATGGCAAAAGGTGTTAAATCCAGAACTTATCAAAGGTCCATGGACTAAAGAAGAAGATCAACGGGTAAGTATGAAAGCAGTTTTAATCTAATTGCTGCATAAGCATGAAATGTTGCGTGACCTTCGAATCTGCATCTGCATGTATCAGAACAATGTCTCTGCTTATTTATAGTCTTGACTTATTTTCATGTAGTTGTATAATTAATCTGTATAACCCTTAGGATTTTGTTTACAATCCAGCCATGCTTAAACCATGTCTCAAGACCTGGTGTAATGGACAGTGGTTGGAAGTCTGAGCTATGAGTCAGAAAGTCCCGGACTCAACCATGATACCATTTAGGTCAGGCTTGTCCAACCTGCGGCCCGAGGGCCGCATGCAGCCCAGGTCGGCTCATAATGCGGCCCAGTGCAATTTTTTATTTTTAAAGAAATTTCAAAGTTTCAAGTTACACTGCCGGCACTTGCGGCCGGAATGCGGCTGGGGCACGCTGGAGGGGGGAGAGGGAAGGAAGGAAGGAGCGGGAGGGGAGGGGAGAAGGGGGCTGTGTGACTGCATTGTGCCATCCCCATCAATAGGTGGACCCCCTCCCAGCCCCATAATGCCGCCGGAGTTGAAGCTGGCAGCCTCTGCTATCTGAGATCGCAGCTGCTGGTAAGCGCGCTTGGAGTGGGGCTGCGGAGGATGGCTAGGGCTGCCCCCCTCAAGCGGCCCAAACCAAATGTATGTACGGCCCAAACCAAATTTTCATCTTCTAATGTGGCCCAGGGAAGGTGAAAGGTTGGACACCCCTGATTTAGGTGGTCTAGGGTGAGCCACCCTCCTTTGGCCTCAGCCTTTTCTTCTTTTGATTTCGGAATAAATTTACTAGGGAAGCTGTGTAGGACAAGACAGCAAAAATAATACAGTTTAGCTTTGTTTCCTGCATATTTATTCTATTCTTGTTTTCCTTCTCATTGGGCTGTTGTAAACAGTTTTGATGGAATTATGCACATGCAGCTCTTCAAGGATTTATGAAATGTACCGTTGATGATTATGATGATTATGATGTAAACTGTGGTTATTATGGTGGTGATGACTAGAAATTGGTTGAACTGTCACTAGGGCTGCAGTGCTCATTTGAAATAACCAGTTAGATTGGTAACTAAATATTTTAACCAATTGAATAGTAGTTGTTAATTTAAAAAATTACTGCTTTGATACAAATATGTACAGAAACCACAGCAAACTCAATTTGAGAAGGGGCATTTATCTTTCTTTCAAATAAAAGGAACACGTAAGGGTGATGCCTGTTGTGACGTGTATATATAATCTAAAAAATGAAGATATTTTTCCTCATCAGAATTAATTATTTTATGCATAGTTAAATTTGTAGCCTGGTCTCATTAGTTAAGCGTAAGTGTCATTGTGTTCTAGATAACTTACTTGTCAAGCTAGTGTGTTTAGAACAGTAGCCTTAATAAATTAAAAATACGGGAGCCAAAGTCCTGTTTTGTAGGTATACTGGTAAAGGATACTGTACATGGGAAACTACTGTTAATTAGCAAGTCTCTGTGTAGATTCCTCATTGCATGTGGATCAGGTGGCTTGGTGCATGATTGAGAATCCAAGTGAGGACTCATTAATGAGTGGCAGCTCACTTCTGCAAGTTTACACCATTTCCCTTCTGCCAGTGTTAAGTTCACAACAGGATTTTGGCCAAGGTGAGATTCAGTAGCACTCATCTGCCCACAAAAAATGGACACTATGGGTGAAGCAGATGCACCTCCTTGTGCAATCCCCTGGAAGACACTTCAACCAATTAAAAGGTGACCCCAATTAATTGGGTGGTAGTTGGGAACATGTAGCAGAGAAGAGAAGAAAGGAAGTCCCTCATAAAAGTGAAGGTGTGTTCATGCACTGTTGGAGTTCACCCATCTGATTATCTACCTAAGATACCTGTTTGGCAATTAATGCTGAAAGGTGACAGGCCTAGTCTTCACTCAAGCAATAGAAAATAATTACGGTTTGGTGCTATTTATGGAAACATTTAAAGGCTAGAGGCAATGCTTTTGTGCTTGTTTGAAGGTGATAGAGCTCGTGCAGAAGTATGGCCCCAAGCGCTGGTCTGTCATTGCTAAGCACTTGAAGGGAAGGATCGGAAAACAATGTAGGGAGCGATGGCACAATCACTTGAATCCAGAAGTCAAGAAAACCTCCTGGACGGAAGAAGAAGATAGAATTATTTACCAGGCACACAAGAGGCTGGGAAACAGATGGGCAGAAATCGCCAAGTTGCTACCTGGGAGGTAATGAATAACATGTAGCAATGTACAGAAAGGTCTATGGGGGGGGTGTGTGGCGGACTGATGAGACACTTTCTCTTTGCTATTCTTCCCAGAAAAACACATTGTATGTTAAGAGTGAAATGTATGCAAGCTGCTACAGGGTCATGCCAGATGACATAAGTGTGCAATATTATTAAGGTGACTGGAAGATAAAGCAATTTACTTTCTATAGTTTCTTTAAATGATAACTGTGCATTGGAATAAGCAGCTTGGATGCTTCTGTGTAAGGAGTGGAGAAAAACCTGTTGCAAATATTTTAAGATGGAGTGACTCTCTGGAGACCAAAGATCCCTGCCATATGACCATGTTGGTTATTTCTTATGTAACAGAGAAGAAAGGAAATGTCATCTTTAGCATTTCGACCGTAATGGGGATTTGTGGAGCGCAGGACCTATGGAGGGTCTGTTTCCCGCTACCCATTCTAGGAGAAGGGAGGAAAGAGGAAACATGACTGACTTAGTACTTCCTTTTTGGAAACATACAAACACCTGCAATAAATAGAAATATATTTGACATAACAGCATAATCACAAAATCCATCCGACTTAATAGCACAAAATAATAATGATAAGGTTATGATGATGTTTACTCTACCTAAATATCTTTTGGATCTTCAAAGGGCTTTGCAAAAACAAAACAGCTCTTTAAATGACAGTATTTCTTTAGCATTAATTGCAGTGTCATATAAGATCTGTCCTAAGATTTTTGGAGGAGTAGCAAAGGAACAGACCTAGATGAAAGCAATCTTTGGCTACTCATCTCTCTCTTTTTAAAAATAGAAATGATTAACATGTTTGTTTATATGTTTGTTTGTTGCTTTTCTCCCAGTGAAAGGACTCAAGGTGGGGGACTGGGTAAATAGCACCTAGGGAGAAAGTGTTTGAAGTTCTATTCCTTTCTTGATCCTGTCAGACTTCAAATTCCTGTCATATTCAGGTTTCTGAAATCGTTTAGTTAATGAGATCATACGTTACTTAGTTTTAAGTGTTTGTGAAGGTAGCTGGCATATGAATTTCACTCTTAAGTTGCACATACAGCTTGAAGCTAGGTAGAACTTAACTATGCTCCTAGAAAATTTGTTTAGGGAATCACTGTTTTCTTTGCATGATCTCTGTGCTTAAGTAGAAAGTGACTGAATTCCCTTTGGAATGGCAGTAGGCATTTCACAAAGTTGATGGGGCCGATACACCAAAAAACCAGGAAGTTGCTCCACATGCTTGTTGCATCACACACAGCATGAGGGATGAGGTACAACTGAAGTGATTAATTCCCCCAGCTGGAATATGGTGTGACAGTAGAGTAATAGCAGCTGGCGTCAGAATCGGAATCAAGAATGCACCGAGACTTGTTTCATATGCCAGTATTTGATTTCCTTAGTTTTTAATTCACCCCCATCCAAAAAGAAAAAACATAGATAAAAGAGTCTGTTGAAATTGAATATGGATAGCTGCATATTTTAAAAACAGCAGTAGAAGTTCATGCCATGTGAACATAATGGCATAATGTGATATAAGCATCGTTAAATTGTGCAAGAGATTCCTAGATGATTATGGAAATGTTGCATGTTAACTACTGTCTCTTGCCAGTTAGCCAGAATCATGCCTGCAAATTCAGTAATTTTTTTTCATGTACTTGTGTTTTTGTGCAGAACTGATAATGCTATCAAGAACCACTGGAATTCTACAATGCGTCGAAAGGTTGAACAGGAAGGTTATCTCCAGGAGTCTTCTAAAATCAGCCAGTCTTCAGTAGCCACAGCTTACCCAAAAAATAACCACTTAATGGGCTTTGCCCACACACCGCCTTCTGTGCATCTGTCAGCAGACCCCGCCACTCCGGCTACTAGTGACTACTCCTACTATCATATTTCTGAGGCACAAAATGTAAGCTGATGAAAACAGTTTTAATGGCTTGAGACAAGCTAGATTTCCAAGTCACTCTTGGCCATGATTGAAAAATGATGTGTGTACCTGCATAGAGTATGTGTTTATATTACATGGACCTACTAGTCTCTGTGGTTGGGAAGAGTACTTGGGTAGGATATCTCAGTGTAGATTGCAGCTCTGTACACTGAATAGAAATGAATTGCACATAAAATAGAAGTAAATTGTACACGGAAAGATCTTAGACGTGCTCTGCCAAGCAGCATTTTTTTCATCACTTTAGAAATAAGCCCCAGTAAAACAATAGTATTTACTTCTATAGGATTGCCTAAAACATGCTTAGTAATTTTTTATCTTTTAAAAAATACATTTCCAACTTGAAATCAGTGAACTTGTTTAATCGCCATTACTCAGGGAGACTTACTTTTGAGTGTAAACATAAGATTGGCTCACAGGGCATTTAGTGTTGGTGTTAGCTACTAAATGCATTTTCAATTTTGAATTTTTGACACAAGCTAGCTATTGGTCCAATGGGTACTGTGAATCGTTATTAAGTACCATATTTTTCCTATGGCCAGTATCCTGTTGTGTCCTGCTTGTGCAACACTATTTTACACAAGCAGCTGGACAGTAACAGAGCTTCTGTAAAGAGGTGTCTGGTTCCTCCTCAGAAAATGAAAATCCCATTTTTATTAATGGGTACTTTCCACAACCCATACTTATAGAATGGAAAGCACATAGGTTAAGCACAGCATTCCATGCCCATGCAAAGAAGATACATTTCTAAGGAAATATTTTGAAGTCCCTTCTCAAAGAAACAAAACAAAAAAACCTGGCCAGAACCCATCTCTTGATGTACTGTATTTGAACTGGAAGTCAGTTATACAGTGGTGCCTCGACTTAATTGGTTCCAGAACTCCAGTCGTAACTCGAAATGGTCATAAGTTGAAGCACCATTTCTCATAGGAATGCATTGAAATGCAATTAATCTGTTCTGGCTGAAGAAAAAAAAATCAACAAAAAAACCCACAACACTGTATGATCCATCAGAAATGCAATTAATCTGTTCTGGCTGAAGAAAAAAATTAACAAAAAAACCCACAACACTGTAAGATCCATCAGAAATGCAATTAATTTGTTCCAGCCCAAGGGGGGGGGGAAATGCAATTAATCTGTTCCAGCCGAAGGTGGGGGGGAAGGAAAGAAAAGCAAATAAACTATGCAAGACCCTTCGGAAATGCAGAAAAAGCAAAGCAGAAAGCAAACTGTGCAAGATCCATTGGAAATGCAAAAAAAAAAAAAAAACAAAGCAAAAAGAAACCGTGAAAGACCCATCGGAAAGGCAAAAAAAGGAAAAGCAGAAAGCAAACACTCTGCAAGACCCATCGGAAATGCAAAAAAAGCAAAGCAGAAAGCAAACAAACCATGCAAGACCCATTGGAAATGCAAAAAAGCAAACAAACTGCACGAGCCATCGGAAATGCAAAAAAACAAACCATGCAAGACCCATTGGAAAGGGGGGGGAACACAAAAAGCAAACAAACCGTGCAAGACCCATTGGAAATGTGAAAAAGCAAACTGCATGAGCCATCGGAAATGCAAAAAAACAAACCGTGCAAGACCCATCGGAAATGGGAAAACACAAAAAGCAAACAAACCGTGCAAGACCCATCATAAATGGGAGGGGAAACCCCAAAAAGCAAACAAATCGCGCAAGACCCATCGGAAATTGGGGGGGGGGAATAAAAAAGCAAAAAAAACCCGCAAGACCCATCACAGCAAAGAAACATAATCCCACCACCTTGCATTACCAAGCAGTCCAAAGCCTCCGATCGCACTCACTAACCGTTGGGGCGAAAGAGCTACAAAGAAGCCTACCAATGGTTAGCGGTTTGAATTCCCTGCCTTTTTTCCCTGCCTTTTTCTTTCGTAAGTGGAAGTTCCGGCTGCAAGTTGAAGCAAAATTTTGCAGCCAAAATGGTCATATGTCAGGACGTTTGTAAGTCAAGGCACCACTGTACACCATGTTCATCTTCCTCTTATTAAGACTTAAGTTCTCTTTTGTTATGCTGTATGTGTGGTGGATTCAGGGATTGTGCAACAACATATTAACTTAGTTTGAATGAACAAGAAAGATTGCTTGCTGAATGATAGGAAGATAAACAGTGGCCCATCAAATCTGTAATCCCTGTTTCCCACTCTGGCCAAGCAGATGCTTATGGGAAGCAGGACTTTTATTCCTTTCAAGTATTGGAAGTCAAGCCATGCACTCATTTACTCTCAGATGCTTAGCTTGCATCCCAGCACAAAATGTCCTTACCCCATTTGTGTCTTGTTTGGTTACATCCCTTTGTTGTTGATAAACAGATTCTTGCTATAAGGTAGTTTGAGAACTCCTATATTAAGGAGATATTGACATGATTATGTATGAAAAGGGATATTGTTTTTATTTCATGAAACACCTCAGTATGTTTGATGTTACCGTCAGGCATGTCCACCACAAAAATAATTTGGACCGTTTTGTTTTGTTTTGTTTTGTTTTGGCCTAGGTCTCTGCTCAGATGCCGTATCCAGTAGCACTTCATGTAAATATTGTTAATGTTCCTCAACCAGCCACGGCAGCTATTCAGGTAGATCATTTTAAAGATAATTTGAGGAGTCAATTTGCTATATATTCCAAATGCAAGTTGGATGCAGAAGCCTTAGCTCTTCCCCCTGGATAAATAAATAATTAAAAGGCACAACTCTTTAACATAGGGACCTGTCCATATGCAGCACTGTCCAAGCATGATGGCAGCAAGTGGCGTGCCAGTCTAGAAAACTCACAGTCCTTCCTTGCAGCTTCTCTCCCTTCTGGGAAACAAATGTTTCCCTACCCAGAACCCACTTCACACATTCGTCTTAACGCAGGTGGGTTTGAATGGGTAGTAATGCCATAGGCGGCACACTCATTAGCCCTGCCCAAAGATGTCTCATGCACCCAGCAGCACCGTAGGCCGTAGGTTTAGCACAGAGGCCTGCAAACAGCTTTGTAACCATGTTCAGATTGTATTTACTGGAAATCCTGTGACCAGGAGAGCTAATGTTTGAGTTCCCACGTGTTCAAGTGAACATGGTAACAAAGCCTTCTGCGGACTTTCACACTCAGTGTGTGGAGGTGTGAGTTATTTAGTGGCGTGTGCAGATGTTCAGAGGGCAGAGCCTGTGTGCCCATGTCCCCTACCCTTTTTTTTAGTCCTATATGTGTTCAGATAAAGGCCTGAACTGGGCTTGTGTGATTTAGCATTTTGTCGTCGTTCATAGCAGTTACGACTACTCAAAGATTTCCCAAAACCAAATTTTGGATTGATATTGCAAGAGATGTCCTAGCTAGCTTTAAATATACTTATCTTTTGTACAAATAAACTACAAGGGGTTGTAGCTCCAGGAAAGAGGGGAAGCAGACATCCCCAAGACTGGCTTCTGATTTGCTTGCCATATTTAACAGGAGCCAAGTGGCAAAACGAAAATGGGACTGGGGGAAAAAGGTTTTGCTCATAAATAAATGGTTAGCAGGGCAAACTGTGTCCACTTCAACAATAACCAGAATGCTGTCTTTAAAATCTCATGTTTCTGACTATAACATCTGTGGACAGGTTTAGCAGAGGCATCAGATTTTGCACAGCAATGGCTAGTTCAGCTGTAATTCTTCAAGGTAGCAAGCCATCGTTACCGTTTTGACTGCAGCAGCCAACCAGGCCTTTACTTTCTCTTTTCCCTACCTCTTAATTGCAGAGACACTATAATGATGAAGATCCTGAGAAAGAAAAGCGAATAAAGGAATTAGAGTTGCTACTTATGTCGACTGAGAATGAACTGAAAGGGCAACAGGCATTACCAGTAAGGATGTCACCATGTGCTTGGATGGAGGGATAACAGCTTTACCCCAGTGCTTCTTTCTTTCTTTCTTTCTTTCTTTCTTTCTTTCTTTCTTTCTTTCTTTCTTTCTTTCTTTCTTTCTTTCTTTCTTTCTTTCTTTCTTTCTTTCTTTCTTTCTTCTGGCACTAATCAAGGCTCTATATTTCCATTTGAATGGAACAAAACACCGTGGCTTGCATCCCTCACCTGCTGCCTGTGTTTGCCACCCACCTCCAAATTATAACAAAACTGGGGAGATACAGGTTCTGGTCGCTAGGTGACCTCAGGCCAGTTACTCTCTCTACATTAACAAGATTTCGGAGGATAAAAGTGGAAGGAGGAGAGAGCGATGCATCTTGAGCTCATGGGAGGGAATGTGGGATGTAAATGTAAGAAATAAATAATTGGGAGCAGCAACAGCCACCCACTGTTTCAGCTTTTCAGAATAGTAACAATCAGTCTCCGCCTGACTTTATACTCTCAGGGTAAAATCCGTGTTTCTGACAGCTTGAAATGCTTTCCATAATGAAAATGTAGTGCCTGTTTTCTTGCCTATTTCCCGTCTGCTGTGTTCCGTTGCTTCAGTGATATATTATGCCCTGGGCCTTGATCCTCAAACTACTGAAGACACTTTGGTTCAATAGGAGCACATGCACCATGTCAGGTCGCATGTGTGAAATGGTGTCTACTCTAAAGAAGTATGCCATTTCTTGCTCCATCCCCCAAAGTCTTGGAGTGGTTTTGTTTTAAGTCTGCTAAGCCAGTGGGCGTCTGTGCATGAAGTAGATAAACAAAGAGCACAGGCCTGGGTCTGTCTACACATGAGGCCTGTTTGCTCTGTCCATACCACTTACATGCCACTGCTTGGGTATGCACAGTCAAACTTAATTGCCTAGGAAGACTTAATATTCCAACTCCAGGTGGTTTGGGAATCTCGGCCCAAATAACGTCATGATTTTTGCATGTTTGGTAATTTTTGTGCATGGAGAAAGTTAGATTCTGCAACTGGGTGTGTGGAACTAGAGCTGGCCATTACTTAACTCCTTTATTTTATTTCTTAAATAAAGTTTATATATTTATTGTGTGATTGTGAGAAATAGCAAACCAACTTACATATTGAATTAATGTGGAAATTGCAGATAATAGCCAGCAAAGAAGTTGGAAGTATAATTAATTCATTAATTTGTTTTATAGTTATCTTCAAAGGAATGTGTGCATGACATGTTAGTTTGGCCACTTCTGATTTCTAATTCACGTTTTGCAACTTCTTCTTTTGCATGGTCATCCTGGAAAGAGACTTCTGTTAATTTGCTCTTCTGCTTTCCTAACCACATCGATTGTACAGCCTTTTCACTGCATTGGTGTAAGCTGTAATTCTAGGCAGAAATAGGAGAAGGACAAAGAGGTGTGCAAATGAAAAGTGCAACTCTTCTTTTAATCCAGGTCTGCAAAAATCAGCAGAAAGTTCAGCAGCAGCCTTAAATGTGTTGTGGATTTTACCATCTTTAATTTTTAAATCCTACAGGTTAGGCTGAGTTCATGACAGGAAAATCTTGCCAGTTTTGAATTTCTCAGAACACCTCCCCCCCCCAAAAAAAACTAGGCTTTTCACAGACCTTGCAGGTAGAGTGTATGAGTGTAGCTATAGATTGCTCATTATCCTATATAGATCCATGCCCAGGATGCAGAGCTGTTGCACAAGATGAGGTAATGCCAAAATGAGAGCAATAAATTCACTACCCTTTCAAACAAACTCTTGCTGCACTGATGAAAGGAAACATCTTGACAACTGTTTCATAGGCATTAAGTGCTTAAATGATGCAACCACATTTATCTTTTCCTTCAACAGTCATCCAATGCCTTGTGCAATTTCATTGCTAAGTTCCTTCTACCTCTCTTCCTCCCACCCCACCTCCCTGGCTTCCCCCCTTCCTTTAGACACAGAATCACACTTCAGATTACTCAGGATGGCACAGCACCACCATCGCAGATAGTGGCAGAACTAGTGGCAACAGGGCAGCCATTTCCTCTCTGGGGGAGCATCATCACTGCACTCCATCTCCACCAGTGGACCACGGTTGCTTGCCTGAAGAAAGCGCCTCTCCTTCAAGGTGCATGATTGTCCACCAGAGCAGTTTCCTGGATAATGTGAAGAACCTCTTAGAAATTGCAGAAACACTTCAGCTAATAGATTCTGTGAGTAAAATGGTCATCCTCTAAGACGTGGATCGCATTGGGTTGGCGTTGAATGCCAATTTTACATTAATATTTTTGTCATATACTGTTCTTCAGTGAATGATATGGTGTCCAGTGTTAGTACAGGCAGTGATGTATAATTACAAAGGAAGGGCAGGGGGAGGGAACTACACACTGCAAAAAGAATGTTTGCAGACCATCCTGATCATGATGATTTGATGGTAAATCCTGTTGAATGACATGAGTAAACATTTAATTCCTGAGTAAACATTAGGCAGAGTTTACTACAGTATAGTAAGCTTGGCTTATGGTTTGCAAGCTCCAGCATTCATCAAACGTGGATAGAGAGTTCTCTTTAAGAAGTGTATGTAAAACCCTTGTAGTAGATAATCAGAATTTGCCCACTTGTCTTTAAAAAATAAATACTGTATAACAATGAAATTGTATTGTAGGATTTAAAAAAAAGATGTGGAATATATTTCTAGTTTTCTTGAATAGAACTGAGGTATATGAACTATGCATACTTACTTGGATTTCTATATTTTATTTTATTTTTATTTGTTTATTTACAAATACATAGCATTGGTACTTTTCTTTCTTGAAAATATCAAGGAACCACACAAGATCTGAAAAATTGTTTCTACTGAGCTGAAGAGTGTAATATTCATATAGTGGTCTTTAGGCCAAATGTTTTTTGAAACAAATCCGTCACAATAATATCATGAAACGTTGATTCATTCTTTTTTCATTTAGCAGGACTGCTCACTTGTAAGCACTTTTACCACACAGCACATTTTTGTGCAGTGGTAGCTTTTTTCTTTTACAGATTGAACTATTGGTTAAGAAAAAGTCTTAATGTTTATAAGAATCCATAATTTGGATGGTTTGCTTTTGATTTTCATGCATTGGCTGAAATCATGTTGCTTAGTGTCATAAGTTGCACAGGGCCCTCTGAATCAGTGGGGATTCAGTGAGTCAACACCTCCTTGATTCAATGCTACAGTAAGTCACAATTAAGGTAGGCCCATTTGAATCAACTTATGGAGGGTTGGCTCACCAAATCCCCACTGATTCATTGGCCTACTCTAGTAATTTATTACACTAAGCAGCAATATTTTAGCCAAAGGAAAAATTCAAAATTGGATAAAAATGGATTTAAATGACAAACAGTGGGTTTTTCCTTTCCTTTTCTTCCTTCTGTTGGAGCAAATTACTGCTTTACCTATCTACTTATTTTTACAAGGGAGGGTGATGTACTGTCTCATAGACCTGTGGCTTCCCCCTCCCCCCTCCACATTGTTTCCAGGATCCTTCATCATGGGGTGATCTCAGCAGTTTTGAATTCTCTGAAGAAGCAGACACCTCGCCCAGCCAAGCTCCCTCAGGCAAAACAGAGGCCAGCGCCTGTAGGCCTGAAGAATGCCCTCTCTCAAACATGAGCAAAACCCCGTTGAGTCAGGATTCCCTTGCTTTGCCAAAGTTCTTGCCTGACTCAAAATGCAGCACAGCTCCGTTGGTCATTCTGCGCACCAAGAGAGGGCATCCCAGCCACTTAGCCAGTGACCATAATAAGTTCTTCATGCTTGCTGGTGTCAGCAGCTCAACTCCTAAGCGCTCCCCTGTCAAAAGCCTGCCCTTCTCTCCCTCCCAGGTAGAGCAAGATTTCTGCGCCCATGCTACTAATTCTCAAAGCTGCGGAGGTGTTAACATAGAGAAACTAATCTTTGGAGCAGTTGACTAATCAATGTTGCACTCGTCAATGACGTTTTGATTTTGAATCTCCTGCTCACTCTTTGTCATTGACTTCAGACTGTGAACAGTCTAACTGACAATTTCCTTTTCCCTGTGTGTCTGATTCCTGGTGCTTTTTGAGGGGTTAGTGGCTTGTTTGCTTTGCACGTAACTTTAAATTCCTTTGGCTGTTGAATCTAACATTTCTCTTCCTGATAACTGATTATTATTCTGTGTTTTTCAGAGTAGGGACTCCACCAAAAGTCAGACTAAACAGGCAGTATAAAATAGTCATGTTACACCACAATGTAACAAGTTTTGTTTAAAAAATTCAACATTAAATTATTATTGATATTGAAAACATTTGGGTGATTTAGAAAGTACATGACTGCATAGTGTCATCTGTAAACCAGCTTGAAGTGGACATACTTGAACTGTCTTCATCTTACTGAATTCAGTGGGATAAAGCAGATTTAAAGATGCATTAATTTAAGTGCATTAATTAATTTTGCAGACTACCACCTCAAAATATGAGTTAAAATACATTTAATTAGTTCATCTTTGCTGCCACTGAAATTCTGTTTCCAAAATTGTACCGTAACAGCTTTGTCTTTCAATAAATGTAAATTCTACACTACAAAATGCTGTTTACATTCTTTACTTACTATAATATAGAGGAAATAGGACTGTGGTGGTATTAGGCATTTTTAAATACAGTACTTAATTGCATGATATAGTATTCAGTATTATTCAGTGGGCAAATGTCGAAGTCCTATATTATTAGATTTCCTAGAATGGGTCAAGTACCCAATTAAGTTCAATGTGATAAAACAGAAATACTAGGTTCCATGCATTATCTTGGAGTAGAATTCATTTGCATAGACCTAAGAAATAGAAACTTGCCTTTGGGAGTCCTACAAGCAAGTGTTACCCTTTTGCCAGGCAGTGCTAGTCCTGATACACACAGTTAGAGTGTGAGTCAGTAGAAGCACTTCTGTTCATTTATCTTGAGATTACTTTTATTTTGTATGATATACTTACCTCTGAAAGGCATCTTTTAAAATTTTTTTTCCAGTTTTTGAACACCTCGTCCAGCCAAGAAAGTCTGGATCTTGACAATCCTACTTTAACTTCCACTCCTCTCTGTACTCATAAAGTCACTGTCACAACACCGCTTCACAGGGACCAGGCATTTAAGACACAGAAAGAGAACAATATGTAAGTCATCTTATCTTTTTTCCTCAAGCACCTCTGTATCATTATCGTCACCATCACCAACAACACAATTATTGGCTACTGTTGGTATGGTTTAGAGATTCTTCCATCCAGATCAAATGCTTGTTGGTATACACAAAATCCCCAGAAGTTTTGTAAGATGATTTATCCATTCACTTCAATGGAAGGCAACTTGACACATGTGCTTGTCTGCTCATTTGGAGCTGCTACTTTTGTATAGATGCATTTTGCACCAACTATCTCTGATACAGCTTACTTAACCAATTCAGCAGACCAGTTTTAAAATAATAAATAGTGGCCAAAATCCTCTTGTGTATCTACACAACTGGTGTAACTTCGAGGGGCAAATTGCCCCAAATTAAGAAATCACCATACACATTATCAGTTGCATGCTGGATCACATAACTCAGTTACGCCAGGGGTTGCACCATTTGTTTTACACCACTGTTAGTAGGCAAGAGGATTTGGGTCACTTTTTTATATCATATGTTTCTTAAGTATTCACAGAGCTTTCTACATATCGTTTCACAATCCGCAAATTGCCCCAAATTAAGAAATCACCACACACATTATCAGTTGCATGCTGGATCACACAACTCAGTTACGCCAGGGGTTGCACCATTTGTTTTACACCACTGTTAGTAGGCAAGAGGATTTGGGTCACTTTTTTATATCATATGTTTCTTAAGTATTCACAGAGCTTTCTACATATCGTTTCACAATCCATGAAACAGCCTTGCAAAGCAGGGCCTTGTGAGCATCCTTATAGTATGGAGGGTTCACAGGAACTGGGAAATTGTTGTTGTAACTATTGCTAAATTTTAACTAAATCAGAATCATGACTATTCAAACTACTTTATGTAATTGCTCTCTTTTTGTGTCCTTTTTTCACATTGTGGTCTCAGCTTCAGAACTCCAGCTATCAAAAGATCAATCCTGGAGAGCTCGCCAAGAACACCCACCCCATTTAGAAATGCACTTGCAGCTCAAGAATTCAAATATGGACCCTTAAAAGTTCTGGTAAGAAATAAAGGCAGTGTGATATAAATGAAATTCATCAGGAAGAGGTGCTGCAAGGAGTTTCCTGCTGCTGAAAAACTCATTCTCTTCACTTTGAATGCAGTCAATTTGGATCACTTAAGTATGGATTTTGCTTCCCCCCCTCTTTTTTTTTAAGCCTCCAACGCCAACTCATCTTGTAGAGGACCTGCAGGATGTTATCAAGCAAGAGTCTGATGAATCTGGCATTGTGTCAGGCCTACGTGAAAGTGGATCTCCTTTGCTGAAGAAAATCAAACAGGAGGCAAGTAAAACCGTGTATTTACTTTAGGCCACACTAAACCAACCTCAAATTGCCAAGAAATGGCTATAAATCAGATTATTTCCTGCAACAAGAAGTCAAGTTAGCAAATGCTTTCAGAAACTTGCCATATTTTATTTGTCGAGGTAGTTAGGAAATGAATTGGATTATTCATAGTTAGATTGTTAGAAGCAAGCAGTAATGATAAATGAGGGTAGTAGACAGAGGGTAATAGCCCTAGTACCTTAATTAGAACTTCTGCCTTCCGTTTTCAGAGACATCCATAACTTCTACAGTAAAACATAAGTCATTTGTATCTGGTTCTAACTCTTGAGATTAGATTGCTTCTGATATGGATGTGCATCTTGCAATATCCTGCTTTGGGCAAGAATCAGGAGCAAAAACCCTCTTTTCTCTTTGCAGGAAGATTTATTTGTGCAAAAGTCCTGTTCCCCTCTCCCCTCCGCATGTGAAATCTTGTAGGAAATTGGAAGAAATGCCAGACAGTGCACAACTCCTGCACAGAATGGCAAACATTCCTACACAGGATTCATCTGGAAGGAGCAGAAGTAACTCCAAGATGTGCATAATCATTATAGTTCCTATGTAGGATTCCCTGAAAAGGGAATAAAGCTGTTCAGAACAACAGATGAGAAACAACAGGGGTGGTGTAGTTTCTAAGACAGAGTCTCATTTTCAGCGGGGAGCTGGGAACTCTCATTGGGGCAGCAAAGAAATTTGTTATGTCAAGATACAGAAAATGAGGGTGAGATTTTATTTTATTTTTAATTTCCCCCTGACTGAGGTCTTTAAAGCACTGCAGTAATTTTCTACTTTACAACAGGCCTTATTTATTTATTTATTTATTATTTGATTTCTACCCCGCTGCTCTAGACAGAGTCTACTTGGGGCGGCTTATGAACAGTTATAAAACATAATTAAAATTAGTCCCCCCCCCAAGATGGGGGGGGAAGGAAAACTAAAGAGAAAAAAGCAAGTGTTGGCTGGAGGGAAGGCCTGCCTAAAGAGCCAAGTCTCTTCAGTGGCCTAACTGAACCAGTTACAGTGGTGCCTCGCTTAGCGATCGCTCTGTTGAATGATGAAATCTCTTAGTGATGGGGTTTTGGCCATAGCCATAGCCAGAGCGATCACTTAGCAATGGCCCCTATGGGGAAAAATTGCTTTGCGATGATCACGGGGAATGAGTTTCTATGGGCTTTTTAAAATCGCTTAGTGATTAAATTGCTTAGCAACATTTTTCCTAGAACGGATTAACGTCGCTAAGCGAGGCACCACTGTACTGAAATTACTTAGAGTATGCAGTCTTTGAAATGACCCTGATGGCTTTTGTGACTATCCCAGGATTAATAAGGCTAAATTGAAAGCTAAATCTTAGAAATCTAGTTATGCAGCGTTATCTGATATAATCATGTTTCATTAATGATCATCATAATTGCAAGTTTTCCATGATTTAATGGTAGTTGTAATAATGTTTAAAATAAATGATTGAATACTGAATGCAGATTCATTGGTCATTGCTTAGGTATTACAGAGAGAGAGAGACTGTCCTGGAAATTATATACCAATCAATTTCAGTGATAATAAGATTTATCTGAAAATAATGTTGGATCCTTTTTTCTTCTTTTTTACTTGCAGGTGGAATCGCCAACAGGCAAAGCTGGAAACTTCTTTTGCACAAACAGTTGGGAAGGTGAGGGGCTGAACACACAGCTCTTCACGTACACATCTGTTGTGGACGATGTGCCGGTGTGTATTAATTAGCACAATGGATCTTGTAATTTTTGCAACCTTCTCTGTTCTGAAGCAGAGAGACAGGCAAGGTATTGCCCAGAATCCCCTACCTGGCCATGTTGCCACTGGGAGATCTTCATCCCACTGCCACGTAGCAACTGACCAAGAGACTCAGGTTTTCTGCAGAAAAGGTGTGTGGAAATGCTTTTCCACATTAAAAGCCTTGGCACTTGGGATGCAGCCTATTCTTCCTTTGCCCATCTTGCCCCTATAGCACAGGCCGTCCTGTCACAGACAGGCACACTGACCTCTCACTGGTTTCAGTCTTAAGACAGTTCAACTCTCCCAATGAAACCAACAGGGCACAAAAGTATAACTTCGGTTGGATTGTGCCAAAATATCATGTTGTTTTCTGCTCCTTCCCCGGCAAGTCCCTCTGCTCCTCTTCCTATTTTTATACAAAAAAGAGAACTCTGCTGGTGAGTGGTTCATTTAAGATGTATAAAAAGCCGAGGCAAAATTTTACCTTTAATTGGATCACTGAAGTGTTTGCTGAACTCAGTGAAATTATTAGGCAATGAAATGTTTACTTCCCTTGCCCAGCATCCTTTGTAAATGACAGAATCTAGTTTTTAATATAAATGGGATTACAGCCTAATATAACCCGATCAGCAAGACAATATAACTAAGTACTTGAGCCAATTTTACTGCAATTTAACTCTTCATTTATGCTGTTCCAGTAAAGAGACTAGTACCGAAAGCAGCCCCACGTATTTTCAGTATGACTGTGCTGTGTGCGTCAAACACTGTCTCAGTGAAGCAGTATGTGTTGCTCTCCAGCAAATTAGGACAACCAAGTGATAATCAAAGTCCTGAATTGGTACAGGGGGTGTGCCCTCACCTTTCAGTTCAGTTATTTAGCATCAGATATTCTCCAGTGAACAATTTACTTTCTTCCCAGGCCAAGATTGGAGAAATTACTTTTTCTTTTGAATGGAAACCCCCAGAACCCCTTTGCCAGCATGGCCAGTGGCAGTGAAATATTTCCTGATCCTTATTTATTTTGCCTTTTTTCTCATCTGTTCACTGCTCTTTGCAGCTACAGGTCCTATTCTCATATTTGTAGTAGCTTCCTTTCAGGGGACTTTCAGGGACCGATTATAATTAGAGGACTGTAGGGCTGGAAGGTACCTCTCGGGTCATCTGGTCCAGTTTCCTGACAAAGCAGAAACTCCAAAGCCAAAACAGGACTGACAGGTAGCCCTGTAACTTTTGCTTTAAAAACCTCCAACAGAGAGAGTCCACCAGGCAACTTAGTGTCAAGAACCTTTTCCTAAAGTTTAGCAGAATTTGTTTGAATACAATATCATGACCCAGCAGCCATCAGATTGAGATAATGACACCACAGCAGATGATTTCAAATGAGACTTCTGTGTAAATTTACAAAGAAGTTTCATTTGAAAAGTCCTTCCAGCAAGTTTTGCTAAGAGGAGGTTCTTCATCGTGGTCTTCTGTGAATGCACACAAAAGGGTTAACCAAGCGCCAGCGTTGGTCCTCTCGGAATATTCTCGAGCTGTAAGAGAAATGTAACAATTGTAGGGCTGCCTACATTGCGCATGCTCCGCCCACCCGAGCCTTAGTTCCATTTTTCCACGTTGCGGTTGGGACCTCTCGTTTCGAGCTCCATTCTTTTTCTCTCTATTTCGTGAAAAACTACCTGGTTTTGACCCGGACTGTTCTTCGACTCTGTCTACTTCTGTGCCCCTTGACTCTGACTGTTTTTTTTTTTTTTGGACCATCCG